TAGCCCAGCCCAGCGTTTGTGTAGGCTTATTTTGTAAACCCAGTTTTACATCAAAAAATTTGTCATGAAGAAATGATAAAGAAAAAGTGCCTAGCTCAGGTGTTATTGGCCTCCAAATGTTTGGACTACAGCTCATACAGATCTGATAAGAGTTGGTGTCCAAAACATCCGGAGGGCATCAGGTTTCCTATTTCCATTCTAGAAGATCAGTAAACATCTCAGATTTATGCATTAGCAAATTTTAGTCTTGAGCTGGGGAGCGCTTGCTATAGCAAACAGACCATGGCAGAAAAAGTATACAGTATATATGTGTCCCTGTGTAAAGGAAGGAAAAAAACTGATTCAGAAAGCTACTTCTTAAGGTGATGATGTTCAATATTATAGTTTGGGTACAATTTTCTCATACTCTTGTTTTCACAGCTGTGGTTAACATGTGACTGACTAATGCTTACTTGTGAAGAAACCACATAACTGCTCCTTAAACCATGCAACTTATTAAACCATTAAGATGAGTGTGAAGGTGGAAAAAAGAATAGATGGAATTTGCAACTTCTGAATATCTAAAACTTATGTCCCCAATTATTTTTTCTGGCTTTAGCTGTACACATTTTACTATGAACTGTTAACAGCTGGCTATGAGTATTTTATGACAAAAAACAGCAGCAGCAGAGCAAGGGGAGGCAAATGCCATCACATCTTAATGGCAGTAATAAAGCCAGCTTGCTCGTGAAGTTGATGTTCTTTCAAGTAATAACTAACAATTTAACCTCTCTGGCATGGTAAGGAGACCACCCAAATGCAGTCATTTTGCTCCTTGTCTTAGAGCAATGAGGTGGGGGGAGGGGGCAGGTTTTTAACTATCTTTGGCAATAGGCTTCACAAAATCATTCCAAGGAGGAAAGCTATATTCTGTATATGAGCAAATCAAATAGCAAAGTTTCAACCTTAGAAATGCTACTATCAACATCTGCCTTTATTGCACACAGAAACCCTGTTCAACAATTATCCACGTGCATAGCCCCTCTACATGTCTGAGTGAGCCTATTTTTTTTTCCTTCGCAGTTCATGTAATTCATTCCATGTAATTAGTAACTGGATGCAGGAAGCTCGCTTCTGCTATTCCTCCCTCCACCATGGCTGCTCCCCACCTCTTTTGTCATTATTTCCCAATCTCATAAAGTGCCAAAATTGACCAGCAAACCACCAAATAAGGGTGGCATGAATTCTGGGGCTCTGATGCAAAAAAATCAAGCCAGAAGCTTTAAGATTCTGATGCGGTTAGATAAGATTTCAATTAACCTCCTAATTTCCAAAAATGGCTTTGGATAGGAACGACATGAAGCTTAAGAGAAGCAAAATCAGTATGCGTGTCTTCTTCTCTCATCAGAAATGGCACCAATAATGTACTAATGCTTGGAGACTATGGCTGTGCAGAGTTCTGGATTCAGTTCCAGAAAGGTGCTTTGGAGCATGTGGAGGCACGCATGTTAACACTTAACTACAACTTTTTAAAGCAGCTGTGTCTTTTCCCAGGATCATATAACAGCTGCAGAGCAGTTTGGAATGGAATCCAAAGCAAAGAACTTCACAGGCCCATTAAGAGACTTTCCCATAATTTCTCCCTGAATCGCCCGAGAGGTTAACTCTCCCCAACACATATGACTGAAATGGTATTTGGGACAGAACTATCCTCCCCATATTTGGAAGATCTTAAGTTCTAAAAGTGTCCTTTTATTTATTCATTGATGGTAGTGCTGACTTGTCTTCCAATTCATTTTATAAGAAACCATGCATACATTTTGCAGGGATATGCATGGAATAGGTGATAAATAGTAGGATCACTGAGCATGAAACTGAGCAAACTCAGGGAGGCAGTGAAGGACAGGAAGGCCTGGCGCAATATGGTTCATGGGGTCACAAAGAGTCGGACACGACTTAACGACTAAACAACAACAAAGTAGGATCACATTCTAATACTCTAGCCAAATAAAATATAATGTTGAGCTATGTTAGGCTAAGAGGTGCATGTGTTACCCAATTCAAGGATGAACAGCAAGGTGAAAAAGTTCATTCAGCTAACATGTGGCATTAGCCTTATCCACAGAAACTTACTGGGTGGCTGTCACAACTTTTTAGCCCAATCTTAGTCTGAGGGATATTATGTTGGGTAAGAATTGGAGGAGGAAATGCTATGGAATCACCTTGGAAAGACATAGTAGAACATCTGGAACTACAGCGCTTTCCAGGTGGAGGGGGTCAACATTAATACAATACTCTGCATAGCTATTTCATCTTCCCCTCTTTAGCTGATCTTTTTGTGGAAAGGAATGATGGGAAACATAAAAGGGATGCAAGCAGAAAATTCTGAAAAATTCACAGAAAAATCCAGTAAATGAGGTGGGAAGATCACACGCAAGCACAACACAAACCAAAATCCTCAAGTGGAAGGACCCCAAGTCTCTTTATTAAAAAAAAATGTTTTGCCCCATACAATTGAGTTGTATCAGCTTCATGTACTTAAAGATCATTCCAGACTAGAAATGGACAGACAACCTCTACCAAAGAATGCTACCAGGCTAGTCCTACTGTACTGTAATAAAGAATTTTGTTTATTACTCACCCACATAAGCCCCCATCTCGAAAGTTAGTAATTACATAGCTCATAGAGCAGAGTTTTCCCAGGGCAGAGGACCAGATGATTTTGCACACGTCTACATTCCTACTCAAGAGTTTATGCCATCCCTTCAAAACTTTAGAAATGACCAATAAGTCTCCCTCATGGTAGTCTCACATCTTCTATCACACTTGAAATGAGTCCATGTGAATTGTCTTTTTTCAACAGGAAGCTGATTTCAGAATATGACTAAGGTAGGATAAACATGTGCTCATTTTGAGCATTCACAATGTTCTGTCTTGTTCTTTAATACTCAGATTGCATCTTCTTCATGTTTCACTGAACAATCTCCTCAAGACATCCCAGCTTGAAGCCACTGCTTGCTCTCATTCCACTGAATGGAAGCATGCACATTTTTTAGATGCATTTCAGTAAACCAAGTTAATGAGGAACATGCAAGCAAGGGCCCTTATATTCTAAGAGAACTGTCCCAGAGAAATAAACTTGCAATTTTAAACATGAAAAAAATCATTTTGAGTAGAAAAACATGATTCAGGTAGATGACATGAGACAACTTATTTTGACCGACTGCCTTTTTATTGCATGTGTATGGTTGTGGAATACAAAAAACCAAAAGAATCAGCAATTGGATTGTACTCTTTAGTTTCAAGATTCCATTTTCAAGCTTGACCATTAAAAAAACATCCGTTTTATTGTTTGCTTGAAAAAGAGAAGTGTTTCCTATATCTGAGAAAGTCAATGATCATATTTTCCATACATAAAAAGGACATATCACTTAAAACCTCACTGTATTGTTTCTTGGTACTGTAAGAAGCTGACGGCCTGTTTTCACTCACTGAAAAAGCCTGTAACCCATCAAGGGTCTTTTCAGCAGGAAGAGAGAAGAAAGGCACCAATTGTGCAATGGACAGCAACTCACAATTATGTTCTATCTGAAATATTTACTCCAGCTTGGCATTCCATATTGCCTCACAGTGCACTAGTGTTAGCCCATCCCTTTATCTAAACTTTGCTAGAAGCAGAAGGTATATTACAAACTAACAACTGTAAATGGTGAAACAAAGAGCCTTGATTGGATGCAAGTGTTTTTTTATAAACCCAGAACCTCTACAAAACACCGCAGTATAGATTATTCACATCCATATCATCCTCCTGGGTATTATGGAAATAATACATCTACGCTTCTTATTCTACAACAGAAATCTGCCAGGAGAGATCATCGTCTTTTCCAAACACAGTGAACACCATATTTAAATACTGGTTCAGAAGTGCCAACATTCATTGATTTGGTCCCACTGATACAAAACTGAACAATGACCCCTACGTTAAATTGGGACACACAAAGGAGAGAAAGGCACGCAATCCATTATTACCTCCCTCTTCTACACAGAATAATTTCTGAAGATATTTGAATTTCAAACTTTCTTAATGCTCTAATACCAGCTGGACTGAGATAAAAGTCACCCATGTACATATTCCCCTAGGCCCTGCATGCCAAGCCTATGCTCCCTGAATTCCTAATACGAACACCAATCTAACAGGATTCTAATCCCTGGGACTTGGCAGCAACATTAGCCGTAGCACGCTCTGTCCTGTATGCTGCAGGCCACCCCTGGCATTATAGGTACTATGTGAGAGAAGTTTTAAGAAGGCAGTGGAGAAGGAGCCACTATCAAAAACTCAGTGCAGAAGAGGTAGAGAACAAGTACTGGTCCCGATACTAGGACTTATGTGGACTTTGTGCAGTGAGCAGCAGGGACAACGTAGTAAGATCAGAACAACAGGAAAAGCGTGAACATCGTAAATACCTACTTCCCAGGTGTTACTGTGTTGCTTCAGAATTTGAAGCACCAGGGTACACCATTTCTCAATTCTAGAGGAATCGTACTTCTATTCAAGAACTCCACCACTCTGGTCAGATCTTTATCTTTTGAGGTGGACTTTCCACGCTATTTGCTTATTCAGGGACTTAGCATTAATGGCTGAAATGGGGAAAATAACTGCTGAAAGCCACGTAATTGCCTTTAAAAAGATTATTTTCTAAAATGTGGCTAGCCAATATT